GCTAAGGTAATAGTCAGTAGCAATTTTAACAAGTGCTAGTTGAGAACCGATCCCTTCTTACTATTGCTGTACGTCAAGTTGCTCGTGCAAAATATACTGGTTCTGCACTGCTTATCATGCCATCGTGCGAAAAAAAATGTGGATTGATTTAATTGACGTTCTTAGTGCAAATTTGGAAATAGCAGCACTTATGGTTTGATAACAACGTTTTGCATCCCTGAAGAGGGGATATAGCGAAAGAAGAAGTTTTGATTCTGAAAAAGGTGTGTTTCTTCGTTTCTGAGATCAATGACGGCGATGAAATGAGTCATGTTTGTGGTGTTGCCAAGTTTCCGAAACTTGAGCGTTCTGCGAACGCTAATGGTGGCTATCATCGTTGGCAAAAAATCCAGTCCTCCAAAAGAGTTGTTCAAATTCCGTCAATTCATCTTTACTGAAGAGTCTTCTTATGCAAAATTTACTCTTTTTAAAGTTATGTGTGTTGTAACTGCATTCAACGAGTCTACTGTGTCACCTCGGAAGAAAGTTCAGCACCTCTTTTTATGAGCGCGACGCCCAACTATGTGCTGATAGCACCCTTTTCAACAGGTTGCGAATGGCTCACCTACGTCAGAAGCAGAAAGAATTCTACCTCGGATGGAAATTTCTAAAAAGCCTTGGAACCGTACTCCCCCTACTGTATCCACGTCTTGAATACGCTACCCTTTTGACCATCGCTTCGATCCTTTGTGCTGCTGGATGTTAGTTTCTCACTTTTCAGTTGTGCTGAGCTTTTTCATTATTTGCAGTACTTTAGAACGCATAGTAATAAATTTAAGTTTATTACTAACTAACTAGTTGCCTTTGCTTTCTTACATTTATTCGCTAATGGCCAAAAAGTGGAAGACGTTATGGGTTATCATGACCTTGCTATTTGCCTACATAAACAAAGCTTATCAAAAGTTTGAATCTCTTGAAGTGTATCTCCACATTAATTTAGTTTTTCTTCCTTAGATGAGGTGGTCAGCTATAACTCTGGCACAATTATTGGTAAATTCTACAATGCATTGCTTTCAAAAAACGAAGCGTATTTTTGGAATTTGTTTTGGAAGGCATCATTGATCTATCTCGGGCAGTCACTGGTACTTTGGTTTATTCTCAATTGTGTTGGAATAGAAGAATTTCTTCTTGATTACAGCTTCTAGCAACAACATCCTTCTCGACGTGGCTCCTCTACTTGGTGATGAGAAGAAACTTGACGATTGCGCTACACAAGCTGTACTATAGGAGAAGCATTTATTACATGTTGAACAGCGTGGATAACGCAGGAATTGATAACCCGTTCGTTTTTCAATTTCTGTTTATGTCAGCTTAAAGTAAATGTAGCCTAGAAGTATTCATGAGGTACTTCAATTCCATTGCGCTAGTCATTAGTCAAATTTAAGATAAATTTCCAGAGACCAGCGTATAACACAAGATGTAGAACGTATGTGCTCGACACTCGCAAAAAACATCTTTCCATACATCCTTATTTCTCCTGGTGTCATTGCATTTTACACGTACAAAACCTGGGCAACGTAAGTCTAGTTTCGCTGCTTTTTATATTTTTAAAACCGCTGTGATGAAAGGACTGTGAAGTGTCTTCCCATGCAAAGCTTGTTGTAATGATAAACGCTTTCGGAAAAATGGCATCTCGTCTCATCGTAAACGAATTCTTTTAATTCAATTCAAAATGGATTTTTCGTCTTATGGCAGCTTCTTATTCAGATTGATAAATGCAGAAAAAATCGCAAAAATGCGCAACAGAATGCTGGTTAAAATTAGAAACGCAGTTTTTGTGAGAATGCGCCGCTTTGAGCTTTCAGAACTTTTTTTATAGGTGCCTAACTCAAACTTCGAAACAAGATATGATTAGATAAGTTGGACTTGGGGAAGACATTTCCTTTTTTTTTTGCTTTCTAAACATAGAAATGGCATCACTTTTTTGCTGCAAATCTTCCTTCTCATGAAGCTCTGCCTAAGCATATTTCTAATGCAAATATTTACAGAGGTTCAACCTGCTGAGAGCTAAAAACTGGGGCTTGGGACAGATGATAAATTATTTAAACAATAGTTAATGTGATTTTTTCATCAACCCGGATCGGTGGCAAGTCTGTGGAAAAGCGCACCTCGGTATTCTTGGAAAGACTTTTCAGTGTATTAAGTGGGGTATAGCACTGAGCTAGTACTTGCTCCTGGCAATTTTTTGAAATAATTACTTGGTATTTTAAATGTCCTTTCTCCTCCCTATTCAAGCAATCTCAGCCAAATGATATAGAAATTATGGTAGAAGCA